GTGTAGGTGTGTGTGTGTAGGTGTGCGTTCAAATAATTATTCAAGAAAAATGGAAAGTGAGAACATAAACAGCGAAGCTCAAAACTAACGAAGTCTAATGAATATTTAATTTTATGTATGTCAACGCAGTTGCCCAAAAAGCACCTCAACTGAAAATCTTAGCTGATTTCCTCAAACTTTTGGCCGGTTTCGACAGCGAAAGTGTTCCCTTCAACTCGCGTCGAAATAATTCTCTTTTTTTTCCCCCTATAAAAACAAATACATGGAATAAGCCATACTTCTATTCATTTCTTCTTCAAAATATGCCCGTATTTAGTCTCGAGTGTGGTGGTTAGCTTATGCTCATATGTATTGTTTTTCACTGCTGTCCTTATGTGTATTATAGCAGCATGCAATTTTAAATTAATGATAGCTGAGATCTCGAACGTCTTACTCGCGTGCATATGAGATGGTCTTTTCTTTTTTGTGTGTGTGTGTGTGAGGTTTATTCCCAATAATCATGTACCGTCTGAATGATACCAACCTTGCAGACAAAGAGAGAAAATAATTATCATGCCATCGATGTAAAGCGCTCAGAGATCATAGGGCTTTCATGTAGGCCTACTTGTATGGGATATATAGCTATTATAAATGCACTCTATTTTGTTTTTATCATTATTATTATTATCATCATCATTATTATTGTCTTAAATACAATTTGCATATTATATTATATTACTGTTAGTGGAACCTGCCCAAACGGAAACCTGTATAAAACGGAAACCTGTCTTAGTGGAATCTCCCTGCTCCCCCCCCCCCCCCCCCCCCGGGAAATTCCCCTTTTATCTTTTATTGCCTCTGTATAAAACGGAAACCTGTTCAACGTGGAAATGGAAAGAAAAATCCGCTCCCTTCCGAGGGTTTCACCTGTCTATGACGGAAAATCTTCCGAGGGTTTCACCTGTCTAAGACGGAAAATGCTTTGCCCGCTCAGCCCTGATTTGAAACAAAACTCGCAAGTTTGGTACCGCCGGCTCTTAACTTAACGCTAAGGCCATGCCGCTGGGCGAAGAAGGGGAGTAAGGGTGCAATTTGGGGATAGATGTAACCCAAGGAGTTAACAGTTTAGTTCTAAGCTCCTTGATGTAACCCCATCGTGTAAGCCCTGAGCGACGCAGATGGTCAGTGTAGTGTGTGTGTGAAATCTCACGACTGCCTGTGAGAGTGCTCGAGTAGCGAGCCACTACGGAAACTTTCCTGGGTAGCCAGAAGCCAGAGGTGTGAAATTAGATTGACCAATGCTTGCCGCCCTGATCGTACGGCCAGCCGAGAAAAGAGTTCCTCGAATTGTTGTTACAATGATGGCAGTGAGGGGTGGCATTGGTGGGTGGGGCTAAGGGTGGAAGCAAAGGAGATGTTCAAACGTTTCTGTTTTTAATAGGTCAAACAGTGGTCCTATGAAAGGCAAGCACTGGTGGTAATTGGATAAGTAAGACTGACGCATGTTATTATCAGACAGGATAGCAGTGGAGAGGTGTGAAGTTTTGACCACTTCTTGCCGATCAGACAAGCGATCCTTGATCCCACCGGCTGGGCCTTTGACCCTCCCCCCCTTTTCCATCTCCCCCTAAATTCCCCTGTCTAAGACGGAAAATGTCTAAGACATAATTTTTTCCCTGTTTTTCCCCGCTCCCTTGCGATTCCGTTTAACGCAGGTTCGACTATATTATATTATATTATATTATATTATATTATATTATATTATATTATATTATATTATATTATATTATATTATATTATATTATATTATATTATATCATATCATATTATATTATATTATATTATATTATATTATATTATATTATATTATTATATTATATTATATTATATTATATTATAATAAATACGGGCCTAATCATGAATAACTATACTATGACAATTGCTCTTTACTGCTTTGATCACAACTTTAAAGTTTGCTGTTGATGATTCTTCGGCCTCGGTTTTCTCATGTGAGTGAAAGATGTAATTATGGGCCATCGTGCTGCAATTTGAGCACACCTTGACCTCCAGTTTCTGCGTCGTTGTCTGTTCTCATATCTGCTTTCCTTT